GCACGCAAACCACCAAAAAAAAAAAAAAAAAAAAAAATTACCATTGATGATAACAGAAATGTACAGATTTGCTGGCAAAGGAGGGAAAATGCTGCTTGAGAAGGTCTAATAATTTGATTTTAGGATCTTCACTGTATATTTTGACACTTGATGTTATAAAGCTTCATCTTCACGAATCTCAACGCCTGTCATTAAATAATGATTGTCTGACCTCCCGCCCCCCGCCCATTTCCTGCAAGTGCAACATTTTAAATGGACACAAAGCAGCAAACAATGCTTAAACATAAACATCGATATTAGCCTTTGAAATGATATAAAAATAAAGCTTGAATTCCGCCAAGCCTAATTATAACCAGCAGGCTGCTTGGCATCAACTTTTCCAGCCTGCAGTCACTGACTGTCCATTGCTAGCTGACGCGCGGATGGCTTCGGCATCGGATTGATCTCCTTTTATTTGTATCAAACTTTCCCGACACGCCAGGCTCTCCCCGCCCCGAAGGTAAACTGGGAAGCGGCTAACCCAGAGTGGGATTTCCCTGCCGGTGCACTGGGATTTCCCTGCTCTTCGGGACACTCCGGCGGCTCCGCTTCCCCCTCACTCACGGCGGAGACTCCTGGAAGCCCCGGCGCTGGCTGGGCTCCTCCCCTGCGAGTGTCGGCGGCGGCTGCGCCAGTGTCTGCGAGGAAGCTGCTGCCGGAGCCGCTGGGGAGGAGGCGGGGAGCGGAGCCCGGGACACCCCAGCAGGTAAGAGAGCAGCTGCCTCGGGCGCGGGCAGCAGGGGCGGGCAGCGCGGGGCGGTACGGACACACGAGGGGCCAGGGGAGCGGGCCCTGCTCCTGCCCCGGGAAGCTGAAGGCCAGACCCGGGGGGAGGAGGAGGGACTGTGGGGGTGCACTGGCCGACGGGGTAAACGTGGGGAGGGGAGTGGGCGGTGGAGGGTGGGCACTGGGTGCTTTGAGGGGCGGTGTGGGTGGGAGGGTGGGCACTGGGTGCATTGAGGGAAGGTGGGGGTGGGAGAAGGTGGGCACTGGGTGCGTTGAGGGGCGGTGTGGGGGGAGGGTGGGTGCTTTGAGGGGCGGTGTGGGGGGAGGGTGGGCACTGGGTGCGTTGAGGGGTGGTGGGGGAGGGTGGGCACTGGGTGCGTTGAGGGGCGGTGGGGAAGGGTGGGCACGGTACACTGACTGAGGGGAAGGTGGGGAGGGTGGGCACTGGGTGCATTGTGCAATGTGGGGCTGGGCACTGTGTGCATTGGGGAAGGTGGGGGAGGGGACACAAAGAGATGAGGGAGTAGTGGCATGGGGTGCACTGGGGGAAGGTGGGGGGATGTGACAATGGGAGTTGTAGTGAAGGGGGGAAACCCCAGGTCCTCTTCTGTAATGGATGGGATTTCCCTTTGCTTGATTTCCCTTGGGACAGCAAAGCTACTCACTAGTACTTGGTTATTAAACCAGGACACTGGCTTCCTCTTGTCCCTCCAGTATCAAACCCTGTCAGATCCTTTTCAAACAACAGGTTTGGTGATTGATTTGCTTAGGAACACGTAAGCGGAAAACCAATGGCTAATACTCGTATTATAGGCTTCACTGTGACTGCTGGGAAATCTATGTGGCTGGAGCAACATTTGAAAGCCAAGTGATGATGACTGGGTTGAAGTGTAAATAAACTGACAAATGTAATAATCAGATTATATTTGTTTAAGCAAATCATGCAGTTGTGAGCATTGGACACACAGCAGTTGGCAAACATGGCATCTCCCTTCCCACCCACAAACTAATTGATAATCTGGTGCTATCAAATCTCCAGTTGTAATATACCGCAGGACAAACAAATTTTACTTCATTTCTCGGGCACTCCACCATAAGCATTTCTCTTCCCCACATCCAGCCCTCTCCCTGATGGGTTTTTAATGCATTTTATATTGTTGATCAGCATCCGTTTTGTTAGTGTGAATGCTACCTTGTTTTAGGTTAACTACAAAATGAATGCTCTTTAAAATAATTGTAGGATGGGTTTTAAAGGGAATTTGTATTTAGTTGTGGTACAGTACAATTTTCTGGGTACTTGCTGAACTTTGCCAATCATATTTCTTGACTTTTGGCCAGGTAATAATAATACTTGACCCCTTCATAGCAGGTTTCATCAATAGATCTTAGAGATCTTAGAGATGAAGCATGATCTTGTGGCTGAAGGCATGGGACTGGGTCCTCCTGTGGGACTTTGATAAGTCACTTAGGGCTGGTCTACACTGGGAGGGGGATCGATCCAAGATATGCAACTTCGCGTAGCTGAAGTCGAAGTATCTTGGATCGAATTACCTGGGGTCCACACGGCGCGGGATTGACGACCGCGGCTCCCCCGGCGACTGCGGTACCGCCCCTGCCTCT